TTGGCCAAGGACATAGTTTGAGTGATTCTCTATTTTGATTGGCAGGCTTAGACCATGTAAACATTTGTTCACTGCTCATGTCCCTTTCCCATTATACATCTGATTTTAATTATATGCATGCATAAGCAGAAGATGGTAAATGAGGGATTCTTTCTGAAAGTTTGCTTAAAGGATACAGTTTGCCTTACTGTGTGTGTACCCAGAATAAGTCTAGTCCAGATCACTCCCCCTACTCATACCCCAGACACTACAGTACTTTCAGATAGAAAAACTTAAACTATTCAGAGAGGGGTGTGTAGACCAGGCGTGATGGCATGTGCCTTTAATCCTAGCAGAGGCAGGTTGTTCTCTGTGAGTTCAAGGCCAGCCTGGTCTACATAGTAAATCTAGGCCAGCAGAGGCTACAGAGAGGCCTTGCCTCAAAAAAATAAAACAGGTAAGGGTCTCGGGCTGCCATGTACATTATTAGGTAAGAAGTGTGTGGTTAGGCCAAACCAAGTGGAATCCCAGGTTGCTAAACTATTCCCTATGTTTATATGCCTCAGTATTATTTACTAAGTTTAGAGATAGAAAGGAAATAAACAGCACAACCTATGCTGTCAAGAGTGACAGTGGGCCATTAAGGGCTCTGATTATTGTTTGGGGCAAGACTCTATTACAGCAATAGAGAAACAATAGAAAAAACAGGGGAAATTAAATAGAAAGAGAACAATAGAGACAAAAGGAGGAGATAAGGCAGCTACAACCAAAGGTAGGATGAAGAGAAAATGGTAAAGAAATGCAATCAAACAAATAAAACTCCAACATTAGGACATTCAGAACAAAAAAAAGAAGGAAGGGGTAAAAGTATGACAAAGCTGGCTACCTTAATTGAAATTAGTTATAAATAAGCAGAGTATAAGAAGTGAAAGGAAACTGGATGGGGTCACATAGTGTGTATGTAGTTCCTGGTCTGGGTAGGGGTGCAGCACCTATCCCTGTGTGGGGTCTCTCACTTGGAACTGGGCTGCCTCTCTGCAGTTCCTCACATAATTGTGGATGCTGGGCCTATCTCTATTGGTCCATTCCAGTTTATGGCTCAGACCACATTTACACCCTAGCAAATACTGTCCTATTCTGATTCAACATTTTCTTCCCTCTAGGTAGAGGTTTTCTATAGCCCTGGCCTTAGAGTATAACCACTTGCTCTGGTTTCCCAAAGTGTGATAGATAGGACCTTTCCTCTATAGGCACTTCGCCAACCCAGCAGGGGTCTTTAAGAGATGTAATTTGTGATTTTAATAGTGCTCATCACAACTTCTGTTTTGAAACACAATGTTCTCCTGAATTCCATAATCCTATACCATCTTGATTTTCATCACTTTTGTTTGTTTTCTAAGCCTCTATTTCATAAATGTGGGTGTTTTTCCAAGGCTTTTGGTTCAGCCTGCTTCTTTTTTACATTTATTGTGGGGGGAGCACATGTGTGTGCCACACATACATTGTGGAGGTCAGAGGACAACTTGTAAGAGTCATTCTTTTCTTCTGCTTTGTGGGTTCCATGGATTGAACTCAGGTCATCAGCCTTGGCAGCAAGTCCCATTACCCATTGAACCATCCTAACAGCCCTCACCTGCTTCTCTAAATTCTCTGCTATAGTGGCTTCAGTTGTCTACTAAAGTAACATCTAAACTTTAGAAATAACCTGCATTTGCCAGCCATATACATGCACGGTTCATTAGGAAAGAACTGCAGTAAATATTTTAGGCTATGGGCTACATAGAGTTTTAGATCAACTACTCACTTCTTCTGGTATAGGATGAAAACAGCCATAGACAATAGATAAACAGGTCAACACTGAAATTTTATTTATATAGTTTTTACAGTGCAAAATAATATTTTCAATCATTTTTGTTTAAAGATGAGCCAGTTTAAGTCCAAATGCTTATCCTAAATTTAATAAATATAAATAATATTTCTCATTTTTCTTTTACCTATCACTTACCTTTTCAAATGATGCTACCATTTTTACATGCTCAGTTTTTCTCTGGTTAGTAAAGTCAGTGGAGTCTTCTTAACATGGCATTCTAGGCCTCTTCTTCCTTTCTGCTAAACAAGCATCTCTGACTAAGAGAAATTACCAATAATCAGTTCTTCTTCATTGTACATCTTTCAACTTTGTTAGGTAGTTTTATTTTTCTTTGACATACACTGAACACCATTACCATTACTGAAAAACAATAAAGCTATTTTTTAATGTTGAAGAAAATATATTCATGAGCATAGTAAAATAAAGCATATATTTGGTAAATCTTAGGTCTTCTACAGAATTCAACAGTGAACAATGTAAACATTAAAAATTGCAGTCAGTGGTTTCAAATAAGAAAGGTACGTTCAGGTAGTTTACTCTTAAAAGTGTAGTGGTAAAGAGAGGACATAGAGTACCTTTAAAAGGTTACTGGGTTGACGGGCTTGGAACGATGGCTTAGCAGTTAAGAGCCCTTATTGCACCTCCAGAGGATGCAGGTGGATGCAGGTTCAGTTCCCAGCACTCACGTGGTGGCTAACAGCTGTCCCTAACTCCAATTTCAAGGCATCGAATGTCTTCTTCTGGTCTCCAGACATGCACGTGGTGCCTTTACATACATGCAGGCAAAGCACTTATACATGTAATTTAAAAATCAGTAAAATCCTTTTATAAAAATTTACTGGGTTGAAGGAAAGTTCTTAAAATATTAATAGCAATGGGGTACAGGCTAGAAACAGCTCTACCCTGCCACCTGCAACAGCATAAGGAATTTCTTTGGGGAACCTCAACTCTGAGGAAGCTGGGATTCTGGGCTTTGATGAGAATAGCATTGTAGGGTGAATCAGTATGAAGCAGAGTTAGACTTTATTAAAAAGGGACTTTATGGGGCTAGAGAGATGTCTCAGCAGTTAAGAGCACTGGCTTTCTAGAGGACCTGGGTTTGATTCCCAGCACCCACATGGTAGCTAACAACCATCCTTAATTTCAGTTTCAGGGAATCTGATGCCCTCCTCCAGCCTCCATACGCTCTGTAATATATGGGTGAACTTTCATACACGTAAAAATAAAAGTAACTCCCTAAAGACTAGCTCTCATAGTTTTGGAGGACACTATGCAAGCTGCTAAAGGGAAAAAAAAAAAAAATCCATCAGTGGTCCAACCCCAGCTTTAAAGCCTAGCCACAACAATGACTGGCACAGCAAACTCTATTGGTGCAGTAGTAGCACTTTTAACAGGGGAAATCAACAGCTACCTAATTGAACTTAAAGCCCACTCAGTGGGAGGGAACTTATATGTGGCACTTATAAACAACCAAATAGAAAACCCAAAGTCTGTCATATCCCTAGACAAATGTAATTTCTTACTATATGTTAAACATGGACCCTTATATTTACAAACAAGTATGCCATTACCACTCATCAAGGAAGTTTCTTTTGCAACAGGTGGAGCCTATTACATAGCTCCACAGCTGGTCATACACAGAGATTAAGTGTCTTTGAGATGCCCAGCCCTAAGTGACACAGCTACAATGAAACCTCTACACTTAAAGCTCATGGAACATAATGGAATTCTATGGGTAGAGAGAATACTAGTGCATCTCTTGACTCTCATCAGTAATACTCCCTCGTGTAGTGGATGGCAATGAACACAAAAGCCCACGAATGGCTAAAGTATAGAAAATGAGAGTCTGCCAAGTGTGAGTCCTTAGACAGGACTGCTATATCAAACCACCCATCCAGGGATCAGGAACTATTGCAGAGGAGAAGAAAGATTGTAAGAACCAGGGGAAGAGGTGTATGACCATACGTAAACAGGGTCTTAACAGGCTCCTGGGACCTTGCTTATATTAACTTACAGCAATGGTGTCAGCATGTATAAGAGCCATGCAAACTCAGACAAAAACCCAGAATAGAACTTTGGAAATGGGCAGCCAATCTTAGCCAAGGAACTATTGGCAGCTGACTACTGCTGAGTGAGGGTGAATTTATCTTCTTTAAGGGAGTGGCTCTAGATAGACTGACTAAATCCCAGTGGATGAATTTGCACTGAGGGATATCTGTGTATAATAACTTGACTCAATAGGCCTTAACATATGTATGTATGTGCATATATATACATATATGTTGTGTGTGTGTGTGTGTGTGTGTATATATATATATATATATATATATTATATGACAATGCATGAAATCTGGTAGGGGAGCTATAGGAAGGGTATGGATGGGGGAAGGGAGTATAAAAATGATTGAAATGTTTTGTGTAAAATGCACAGAAATTCAATAAAAATATACTTAAAAAAATGAAAATAAAAGTAAATAAAATACAAAGGGACTTTATGTGACCAAATACCTGACATGAAGTAACTTAATGGAGGAAGGGTTTATTTCTTTTTCAACATACTTTTCTACTCAACAGCTGCTTTAATGCTTCCTCAGAGTTTCATTTCCATCTTGATTTATTTTTTTCTGTTTTGGTGAGGATATTTGTTCTCACACAAACCAGCATATTCAGAACATGTTCTCTGGTTTTAAACCTTCTCAAAACCAAAATGGCCAGTAGACAGACTGCTTTTGCATGTAACCCACATGATCCCTGAGCCAATCTTCAGGTCTTCCTTGAGACAAGAAAAGCCTACTAAATGATTAGTTATTTTCTTATACTAACACATAATATTTGTAGCTACTTATCTGTGTATACCAGGAAATAATTAGTGCGGGAATTTGGCTTTCTTTCTTACTAAGTGAAGAATTTATTCATTTAAAATGAAAACTCTTAATAACTACTGATATGCTAGAATTTGTTAATGGAAAAACATGTAAACTCTATAAAGTCACATATGTGCATATGTACATACATACAAATATATATTTATTATCTGTATAAATATGTTTGATATATTTTTAAAAAGAGAAGGAACTTTAAAATCTTAGAGTTTTTATTCCTTAGCTTCATATGCAAATGACCTATTTTCAAATACTGTCTTTATTTTCAGTTTAATGACAGAATGGCGTTTTTCTCGAGGAGTACAAGAACAGACCAAAGCTTTCCTTGATGGTTTTAATGAAGTTGTTCCCCTTCAGTGGCTACAGTACTTTGATGAAAAAGAACTGGAGGTTAGGCGCTTCTGTTATGCTATTGTAGGGAATGCTCCTGGGGGGAGTGGGTGAATTTTCTGTTTCCTTTCCCTTTATCCCATTACCTTACCTCTCCTCTCGTTTTAGTGTTGTTTGTTTGTTTATTTGTTTGTTTGTTAAAGACAGGGTCTGGACATTTGCCCAGAATGGCCTTGAACTCAGGACCCTTCTACCTTAGCCTCCCTGGTTCTGGGATGTTAGCTGTGCTCCACTCAGTTTGGCTTGTTTTGTGCTTTCCTACAAGAATGTTCACAGAGTTTTGTACAATATTGAATCTTCTCATTGTCTAAGTGTTTCTGTGACATTAATCCTAGCATTGGATGAGTGTATGCCTTGATTCCATCTGTGATGTCATAAGGATGATGGTGTCATAAAGACAATATATTCAATCACTGTCACCTGTTAGGGATTATAATGAGGGATTTAAACATTATTAATAATTTCAGGAAGTTTCAGAAATCTCAATTGAGAAGTGAATTGCTTGAAACATTAGATTTTAAGATGATGAGTGGCCCTAATTGTATATAGGTAAGGTTGTTAGGAATTTATCAGAAGTTGTTTGTGGATTATATAGAATAAAGAACATATAAAATTTGCTTTCTTAATGATTTTTAAGCATGCAGCTTGGTAATATTATAAGCCTATCATTGTAAATCCAGTCTCCAGAACTTGCTTCTTATAAAACTAAAGCTCTCACGCGTTAAACATGAGCTCCTCATGTCCCCCAGGCCCTAGCATCCACTGCTCTATTTTTATGAATTGAGCTAGTGAAATGAAATCTCTTATAAGTGAAATCATGTAGTATTTGGGTTTTTGTGACTTTATTTCACTTAACATAATGTCCTCAATGTAGCATGTGTCAGAATTTCCTTCCTTTTAAAGGCTGAATAATTTTCTCATAAATATGTCAGAAAAAGTTAAGAAATATAACAAAATAACAAGTATTGTTTACTAAAAACCCAGAATATTGCTCAGAAAAATTAAAGATCTAAATAATGAAGACATTTAGCATGGTATATATATTGGAAGGCTCAATATTGTTAAAATGTCAGTTATCTCCAATTGATCTATAAACACAATCTCTGTCAATGTCTCAACAGAACTTTTTCCAATAGAAAATGATAGGCTGATTCTAAAATTATGAGGAAGCACAGAGGCTCTAGAATAGCCAAAATCATTTTTTTTAAAGAGCACACTTAAGGGATATACAAATCCTAATTTGTGCCACATAGGCAAGTCTAGAAATAGAACCCAAAATATACTGTCAAATTATTTTCAACAAAAGTGCTAAAATATTTTAGTGAGAAAGAGGAAACCATGCCAACAAATGATATTGAAACAACTGGACATTCATATGAAAGAACATTAACTTTGGCCCGTACCTTAGCCATAAACAAAGATTAATTGTAAATGAATGTTAACTATAAATGTGAAAGCCCAAAAGAAAACAAAAGGGAAAAAAATCCTAAAGTTTGGATAGTGTTGGTAGTTTCTCATGTTATCATATTAAATGTATGTCTGCCTCATGTCCTAGTAAATCCTCTATTAGATGTTTGTGCAAGTGAAATGAAATGCATATTTACACAAACGCTTGTACATAAATATATTATTTGTGTTATAGGGAGAAGTTTCTTACAGAAACTTTTTTTAAAAAGCAGTAGCTAGTTGAGCATGGTGGTGTACATCTTTAATCCCTGCACTTGGGAAGCCAACTTGGTCTGGTCTCCATAACGAGTTCCCAGCCAGCTGTGGCAACTAGAGACTGTCTCAAAAAGACCAAAAAAAAAAAAAAAAAAACCGAGTAACTTAATAAAAAATAATTTCATTACATTTTTCATTCAAAAACTTCTGCTTTTCAAAATACCATTAAGAAGATGGAAAAGGCTAGGGATGGCGGTACACCAGTACTGAGAAGGCAGAAGCAGAGGTTACTATTGATTTTAATTCTTTAGGCCAGTCTGGTGTACATAGTGAGTTCTAGACTAGCCAGAACTGCATAGTAAGACCCTGTCACTGGAAGGAAGGAGGGGAGGAAAACACCTATAATAATAGGAGAAACTCTTTTTACAAACTGTTCTATCCAGAACATATTGGTGTATGTATGCTTGTGATTTCAGCAGTCTAGAGGTCAAGGTAAGGAAGGTTGTAAGGTCAATTTGTGCTACTTAGTGAGCTGGAGGCAAGGCCGGGTTACATAGCAAGACATTTTCTTAAAAAAAAAAAAAAAAAAAAAAAAAAAAAATTAAACCGATAATGAAATAACACTATGAATATGATGTTGTTTTGAGACTGTTTCATATTGCCCACAAAAGCTTCAAACTCTAACTATATAGCTAAGGATGACCATGCACTTCTGATTGGCCTTCCTCTGCCTCCTTAGTGTTGGGATTACAGGCGTATACTACTGCACCCAGTTTATGTAGTGCACAGGCTGAAAACCAGGGCTTCATGCATTCTATGCAAGACTTCTAAGCTGAGCCGCATCCCCAGCCTGGTAGTTTCTTACAATCTGAAATGTATATGTGCTTAGTGCCCCAGTAAGTCCATTATTAGGTATTTTCCCAAGTGGAATGAAATACAAAATACAAATACTTCTACATAAATGTTCTTTGGAACATTATTCATCAAAGTCCCAAACTGAAAGCAACCTAGGTGCCCATCAAGTGACTAGGTAAACAAATTGTTACATATTCATATAATAGACTACTACCTAATGATATGAAAGAATAAACTACTAGTACCCACAACAATACAGATATGTCAGTGGCAGTGTAGAGGACAGAAAAGTGACTGTGTGTACCATATTTGGCAAAGATGTATTTGTGCATTTGTGACATTCTCAAAAAGAGAAATGCAAATGGTGAAATCCTTACACCTAAAGCCAAAGAGGATTTTGCCTAACCCAAAGAGATATAGTGAAATTATTCTTGAAATTATAGCTCAAAATCCCAGCACTCAGGAGGCAGAGGCAGGCCGCTTCCTGTGAATTCAGGGCCTTCCTGGTCTATATAGCAAGATTCAGGCCAGGTGGGGCTATAAGGAGACTCTGTGTCAAAAAAGACCAAAAACAAAAATCAACAAAAAAAGAAAGTATAGCTCAAAATTGACTTATAACAACTATAATAAGGGCTGGAGAGATGGCTCAGCAGTTAAGAGCACTGGCTGCTCTTCCAGAGGATCTGGGTTCGGTTCCTAGCACCCACATGGTGGCTAACAACCATCCTTAACTCCAGTTCCACAGGAATCCAATGCCCTCTTCTGATCTCCACAGGCATTGCATGCCACAGGTACACAACATACACGCAGGCAATATACTCATACACATGAAATAAAAAAAAAACTATAATAAATATTATATAGTTTATTATGCTTAAAGTGAAGTGGTTCTTGTCCCTGATGTAATAATAAGATGGGGCTATTTGAAATTTTCACATGTGTAGAATGTTTTATTCTCACATGAATGACTAACAAGAGATGAGTATATTCTTTTTTTTTGTTTTTTTGTTTTTTTTGAGACAAGGTCTCTGAAGCCCCAGCTTGCTTGGAATTCACTATGTAGACCAGGCTGGCCTTGAACTCATCAAGATCCACCTGTCTCTGCCTACCAGTGCTGGGATTAAAGGCATGTGCCACCACGCCTGGCTTATTTTTCATTTTAAAATACATAAAATAGCAGATTTAAAAGGAGCAGCAACAGCTGGGCATGGTGGTGCATGCCTTTAATCCTAGCAGAAGCAGGCAAATCTCTGTGAGTTCAAGGCTGGCCTGGTCTACATAGAGAGTTTCAGGCCAGCTGGAGCTACGCGGAGACCCTGTATTTAAAAAAAAAAAAAAAGAAAGAAAAAAGTGACATATATTTAAGTTTGAAACCAGTCAACAATTTAGATACTTCATTTGAATCTGTGTATATAGCAAAAAGATAGGCTTGAAGATTTTAGCTAACTCCAGATAGTTCTATTGAATTTAGTGAACATGGACAAAATATGTTATATTATCACAAATTTTTTTGGATTTGCTTACTGTGATCCTTGTTTGTGGAGCATATAGCTGTTCACATAATTATGCCATGTGCATAAATATGTCTCAGAAAATGCCAGCCATCATTCACTAAGTCTTTGTTGTGGCTTGATACTGTGCCTATTTCCCAGGTTATGCTGTGTGGAATGCAAGAGGTAGACCTGGCAGATTGGCAGAGAAATACTGTTTATCGACATTATACAAGAAACAGCAAGCAAATTATTTGGTTTTGGCAGGTATTTACTTTATCTTTTTTGAAACAAACCTTTCAGAGAAAATGTTATCATAAAATGTAGATTTAAGGTCGCTTATTTATTAATTTATTTTTTGAGACTGCTTTTGGACTTAGGTTTTAGTCTTCCAAGTCTAAATCAAAGTGTTTCTTTTTCTGTTGCTTCTTTCGCTATTTTCTAATGAAGGTATGAATAGTCTTTAGTGATTATCAAAACTATTCTGTAAATTCTGCTTGATTCTCGAAGTGAGGGAGTATGTGGTTTTATTTGGTTGGTTTTGGATTTCTGGGAGCTGTGCATTAAGATAGGACCTAGCTGGATAGCCTAGGCTGGTCTTAAATTTGCCTTCTTGTCTCAGCTCCCCCAGACCACTATATCCACCCAGGAGTATATTTTTAATGAAAAGGTCAATGCAGGTATTTAATTCCGCTCAAGGTAATAATATGCAGAATAATTAGTATAATCTAGAGGATAATGTACAAGAATGACTTTTACTTGTTCTCATTGTGCTTTGGCTTAAACTGTGACAGGGTAGTCTCAGAACATCCAAGTATACCATATGTGCTGGATAGCTTTAGTGTCAACTTGACACACCTGGGTTGAGGGAGCCTCAATTGGGAAATTGCCTCTATTGGATTGGCCTGTGGCCATGTCTGAGGGGCATCTTCTTGATGAGTGATGTGGGAGGGCCCAGCCCACTGTGGGTGGTGCCACCCTTGGGCAGGTGGGCCTGTGTTGCATAAGAAAGCAGGCTGAGCAGGGGCCAGGGGAGCAAGCCTGTAAGCAGCGTTCCTCCATGGCCTGTGCTCCAGCTCCTGCCTCTAGGTTCCTGCCCTGAGTTCCTACCTTGGGCTCCCTGATGAACTGTGACCTGGGAGATGTAAGACAAATAAACCATTTCCTCCCCAAGTTGGTACTGGTCAGAGTGTTTTGTCACAGCAATGAAGAACAAACTAAGACACCATACTAATCATTTTCATACTAATCTTTAAGGACATTTTGTTTTGTTTTGTCTTTTTTTGTTTTCTTTTGATTTGTTTTTTGAAACAGGGTTTCCCTGTAGCCCCCAACTGGCCTAGAACTTGGTCAGGCTGTCCTGGATCTCACAGAGATCTACCTACCACTGCCTCCTAAATGCTGAGATTAAAGGCATGTGCCACAGCACCTGACTCTTTAAGTATATTTTAATAGATGTTTTGTTTTATGTGAAGATTTTAAATCTCTAGTCTATTAAATACATTAGTATTTTACTAATTGACACTCATTTGAGCAACTTAATGACTGGACTTTTGGTAGCTTTCACATTCAGATGAAAAGATGAGTTTTATCATGTAAAATTTTTCCAAAAGGTGCATCTTTTCATAAGGATGGGTGTCATTACTTTATTGCATAATATTTTAAAGTATAGACACTTCTAGAAATCTTTCTTAAGGTATACATGAACTTGTGCAAAATGGCATGTAACAAGGTGTTTAATGTAACAATTGTATGCTAACAGAAATACTGAAAAAGATGGGCATGGTGATGTATGCCTTTAATATCAGCAGTCAGGCAAGCAGACATCTGTGAGTTGGAGGCCTGCCTGGTGTACCTAAGGAGCTGTAGGCCAGCCAGAGCTATGTAGTGAGAGACCCTGTTTCAAAAACGAGAGGGAAGAGAAGGGAGGGAAAGGAAAGAAGGAAGGAGGGAGGGAGGGAGAGACTCCCTGAATGAATAAAGAACAAAATGTATTTTCTGTATGGTAAAAATGTATACTATATAGATATGCCATCTGTGAAAGGCAGGAAAGGGGGAGAGGAAGAAAATAGGAAAGAAATTTAGCAGCTTGAGCCCAAGCGGAGACAGCAGTTTTTAAAGCTAATATTTAAACCTAGTATTTATAGGTGTGTGGGAGTCAATCTACTGTCAATCCTGAAATACCTGAATTGCCTATTATGCATAGTACATTTATTTCCTCTCCGGGTGCTTTACTGTCTCATTAAACTTTATATTCCCTCTGTTGGACATTTGTGTCTACCTAGGTAAGGAACTTAAGGTTATATAGATCCAAATGAATATTTGTGTTTTGAACTGCATTTTAAGAAAGAGATAAAGTTTATGTCAGACTTGGCAATAAGACTTCTCTTGCCTTGATGGACCCTATGCCTCAGCACAATTCTATGAACAGTGTTTGGACTGAATTAGCAAAGCATTTTTGTCTATGGTTAGCTTAGCTGTTATTTAGCCACTTTCTCATTGCTGTGACTAAATATATGACAAGAAAACAGTTTAAGGAAGAAAGACTTATTTTGGCTTACAGTTTGAGAGTACCACCAGCTATTACGGCAGGGAAAGCATGATGTCAAGAGTGGCTCACAGCTGTGACCCTGGAAGCTTGATCATTGCCATAAAGCTCAGAAAGTAGAGGGGGCTTGCTCCTTTTCCCCTTTTTATTCAGTCAGGGACCTAGTCCATGGGATGGTACCACCCTCATTCAGGGAGGGTCTTCTTCCTTAAGTTAATTCTCTCTGGAATCGCTGTCACAGACTAGCCCAAAGGTGTGGCTCACTAATGCCCTAGACTTTTAATTAATCCACTAATGTCAACACTGAAAATTAACCACCGAGGTGTATCCACTGTTTTAAAATTTCTATTCTCAAACTGCACTCTCAAGTTCCTGGCTTTCTGTTGTATCCAAATGAACCTAATCTATATTTTACCTTATTTCCTATTAACAACCCTCTTTTAAAAGAACTTGTCAGCAGACTAGTTAATTTTAAAGAAATGTGTGCTTTGGTTTTTCAGATATTAGTGAAGAACATAGAAAGTTGGAAGAATAGTAGGAGAACATAACCACAAACTACTGAGGAAAGCAGTATCAGGGTGGTTATTTGTTTTTGTAGATTAGAAGGGAGGGGTGATTGACTGGGCTTAATTGTAGGTTAGAGCTCACTTTAACTTGGGTTCAAAATGCCAGTTCTGCCACTTTTTAGCAGTCTGGAAAGATAAATTACTTAAACTCTGCAGACCTCCATTTCCTTAGAAGTACAGTGAGGTTACTAGCAATCATAGCTGCCTCAGACTTGTGAAGTCAAAATAAATGAGAAATACATGGGGCAGGGCCCTCAGGAAGAGATCGCCAGTAAGCTATAATCAAAAAGAATTTTACTCTAGTTGTACCTCTTGTTGATATTACTGTAGACAAGTAACTTAATGTTTGTAAGCCTTTCATCGATTTCCTGTCAGTGTGATAGATATAATAATAGTGGCAGGTCATTGTGCAATATTGTCAGGATTAACTGAAATAAGAGCTACGGTATACTTAAATGGTAAATTGTACACCATTTTTTTTATCACATTATCATCTGAATCAATTTGTTAAATATAGTTTTAACTTCTTCAGCTGTCCACTCTTCATTACTAATGAGAATTTGGCCATTACTTTATATTAAAGTACATTTGATTTTTTTTTTTCTTGTTGTTGTTGTTGTTGTTGTTATAGTTTGTGAAAGAGACTGATAATGAAGTAAGAATGCGACTATTGCAGTTTGTCACTGGAACCTGCCGCTTACCTCTTGGAGGATTTGCCGAGCTCATGGGTAAATGCAGATTCACTGTAGTTTCTCTGAAAATAGTTTTGTCATAATGGCCATTAGATATACAATAGACTTAAATTGAAGGACTATTATTCTGGGCTATTATGTAAAACTTCTACCATACAGGGGGAAACCTGAGTGGTTAAAATCAAAGGCATTTGTGAGACAAAAATAAGTTTCCTTATAGAGCCTAGATGGCTCTTGTTTTATGGCACAGGGTGATTGTGAAGACAGGAACATTTTGTAGAAATACTTTCTGTCAATGTAATTCTTATTGCAGTAACTGTGCAGCACCAAAAGGCTTTCCCATGCAGAAGCAGATTATATTATGAATTTATGTATCAGAGTATAACAAATGTGGCATGTTTCTATTATCTAACTTGTCAAAATAAAAAAAAATTTACAGGGGTAACCAGATAAATATTGTCTTATTTCCCTGATTTAGGAAGTAATGGGCCTCAAAAGTTTTGTATTGAAAAAGTTGGCAAAGACACCTGGTTACCAAGAAGCCATACATGGTAAGTTCAGTAATCCTAAATAGGAAGGTGAATGCCAGAGTTTTCTTTTGTTTTTGGAAGCTTATAAGATCCATTATAGCTACTTATTCATAGTCAGAATTTCATCTTTGAGAGCAGGCTAATAGAGCATTTTATACTAAATGTTTTAGAATTAGTTTTTGCAGGTTAATAGAAATACTTAGAAAGGACTCCATTGGTTCAACAGATATTTAGATTACTCCTCATGTGACGAGTAGAATTTCTCCTTGCCTTTTATAAGCTTTCCAACTCTGATAGAGCACAAAAGAGAAACAGATAAACAACTAGAAAGCAAAAGAATACTGTAATAAAGAATCATTGGAACGAATGTTCTGTGGATTGGAGTAGTCAGCGAGATTTCTGAGAAAGGGTAATGTTTACTTTAAGTTTAATAAACAGTATGGTGTGGGAAGAAATCGAAGACAGTTCTTTGGACAGAAATTCTAAAGAAAGCAAAAACCCTAACGTATGATTTTTTTTTTTTTAAGAAGTAAAAACTGATGATGTGATTGGAACTTAGTGAACCAGAAGATATGAAAAGAATTGGGAAATGCAGGTGGGAGGGCTACATAATTTAGCCCCTATTACTCCTACAAACAATTTATAAATTTCAGTAAAAGGAAAATTAAAAGCTTTGAAGAATTAGAAATAGCAAATAATGGGGTTCAAGAAAAATCCTCTGGTCACAGTGTAGTGAAAGGATTGGATGAAAAAGTAAAAATGCAGGGAACCAGTTACATGAATGTTATATCAGCCAAACCAATGAGAGCTTCGGAATAAGCGGACATCAAAACCATTTTCATCCGAAGCTATGATTTGGCTTTTTATTGTTCTGGTTTTTATAGTTGTAGTGCAGACATAATAGTGACTAAAACTTACTAGTACCTTAGGAGAAATAAAAGCAATAGTACCATGCTGTTCCCTATATTCTTCAGCAACACCTATTTGAAAAAAAAAAAGAAAAAAAGCCAGTACTTTATGAAGCACTAAATAACTGAATATTATTAAATTTATTAATGATGCTTTAGGCTTTTCTTATGTTAAATTTATCGGTGTATATTCATTGTACATAGTGGTGAGGTTTGATGAAGACATTTTCATATAAGTATACCATGTATTTTGACCAAGTTCATTCCCTGTACTTCCCCTTTCTCTACCTACCCCCTTCTATTACTCCTTTATTCCTGCAGTCTTGTATCGACTTTCATATTCTATATACATGTCTTATAATCTAGTACCTATAAATGAGAGGACATGTGCTATTTGTCTTTCTGAGCCTTACTTTAATGTGATGATCTCTGAGTACATTTTCCTGCAGATGATTATAATTTTGTTCTTTATAGTGTAATAAAACTGTTACAGATTTTCTTGATCCATTCATCTGATATAGACTGATGCTATTATAACTTGGCTTTTGTGAATATTGTTTAAATAAACAAAGATATACAAAAATCACTGTAGTATGCTGACTTAGACCTTTAGGTACATACCTAGGAATGGTGTAACTAGGTCATCATATGGTAGTTCTAATGATGACCTAGTTTTTTGAGAAACCTCCATACTGATTTCCATAGTGGATAGATTATTCCACCACCAGTATATAAGGGTTCTGCCTTCCTCACATCCTCACTAGCATTTGTTCTTTTTTTCATGATAGCCATTCTGACTGTGGTGAAGAATAATCTCAATGTGGTTTTAATTTGTATTTCCTTGGTGGCTGCAGATGTTGAACATTTTTTTCTATATTCACCATTTCTACTTCATGTTTAGAGGTCTGTTTATTTCATGAATTCAGTTGTTTGGCTTTCTCTCTCTATCTATATCTATATCTATATCTATATATGCACACACATACACACACACACACACATATATATATATAAGTTCTGTCATAGTGTATAGCTGGCAGTGATTTTCTTCCATTTTGTAGACTGTCTGTTCACTCATTTGTTTCCTTTACTCTTCAGAGCTTTGTTAATTTCATGCAATCCTGTTTATCAATTCTTGGTTTCTTTTCTTGAGTTACTGGAGTCCTTTCAGGAAAATCCTCTATAGTGAAGTATTTTCCCCCATGCATTCTTCTAGCAGTTTCAAAGTTTCTGGTGTTACATTAAGTATATGATCCATTTTAAATTGATAGTAGGTAAAGAGCAAGAAATATGTATCTAATTTTATTTCTCTACATAGGAGTACCTAGTTTTGCCAGCACTATTTGTTGAAGAAGCTATCTTTTCTCCACTGTGTAGTTTTGGAATTTTTATTAAAAGTCAGGTGACTTTAGCTGTGTGGGTGTATTTCTGGGTATTCTATAATTTTAGTGATGCATATGTTTGTTTTTGTGCTGTTTTTGTTATTATTACTCTGCTGTGTAACTTGAAATTGGGTGTGGTGATACCTACAGCATTGTTCTTTCTGCTTAGGACTGCTTTGGCTTATCTGAGCTCTTTCGCGCTTTTCATATGCATTTTAAGATTGAGTTTTCTATTTCTGTGTAGAATGCCTTGGAATATCAATGAGGATTACATGAAATCTGTAGATTGCTTTCAGTATTGTTGCCCTTTTCACTATATTTATTTCACTAGTTCATGAGCATAAGAGGGTTTTCCATTTTTTAGGGTCTTCTTCAGATTCTGTCATCAGTATTTTTAAATGTTCATGGTAAAATCTTTCACTTCTTTGGCTAGGTTTATTTGTAGTTGGTTTTTGTTTTGCTTTAAAGCTATTGTGAGTGAAACTGCTTGCTTGATTTCATTCCTAGCAAGTTCATTATTACTAGAAATGAAAGCTACTGCTTTTTGTGTGCTGATTTTGAATTCTGCTACTTTGTTGAAAGTGTTTTAGTTCTAAGTATTTTCTCATGGAGTTCTTATGGTCTCAACATACAGGATCATACTGTCTGCAGATAAGGATACTTTAACTTCTTCCTTTTCTGTTTGTATCCTTTTGTTTCTTTTATTGCTCTGGCTAAGTCTAAAAGGAACTGTACTGAATAGAAGTGGAGAAAGTGACATTCATGTCTCTTGGTTTTTGTGGAAATGCTTGGATTTTTCCCATTTACTATGTTGACTGAACATTTGTCATTTTCAGTCCTTTATTATATTGAGGTATGTTGCTTGTATTCTTAGGTTCTTCAGGCCTTTTCTTTTGAAGGGATCTTGTACTGTGAGAGGCCTTTTCTACTTCTTGAGATGATCATGTGATTTCTGTCCTTGAGTCTGTTAATGTAAGGAATTAAATTACTGGGTTGCATATTTTGTACATCCTTGCTTTCCTGGAGTCTGCAAATGAGGATACTTTGACTTCTTCCTTTCCTATCTGTATCCTTTTGTTTCCTTCTTCTATTGCTTCTTTCATAGACTTGTTTTAGTTGGGAAACTTTGATTAATCTATTGAAATTGTTTATATCCTCTTGGTCTAATTTTGGTAAGTCATATATGTTAAGACATTTATCTGTTTCTCCTAAGTTATCCAATTTAGTACAGTATAGGTTTATAAAATACTCCCTGATGATTTTCTGAATTTTTTTGGCATCTGTTGTAACATTTACCTTTTTACCTCTTTATTAATTTAGGTCTTCCCTCTTTTAGCTAAGGATTTGTTTTTTTTTGCTGATCTTTTCAAAGGACCTGTTTTTTAATTTTGGTCTTTTCTGAGACAGGGTCTTCCCATAGCCCTAGCTGGTCTAGAATGCCCTATAACTAGGCCAGCCTTGAACTCACAGAGATCTGCCTGGGTCTACCTCCCAAGTGCTGGGATTAAAGGTATGCTCCATCACACCCAACTCTCAGAGGACCTTTGTATTGCTTTTCATTTCAATTTCTTTGATTTTTGCTTAGATCTTTACTATTTCTTTCCATCTACTGATTTGGGGTTTGTTTTTCCAGGGCCCAGGATCCAAAAATGTATCATTAAGTTACTGAGATCTCATTTTTAATCTAGGCATTTATAACTATACTCTTCCCCCTTAAAGCAGCATTCATTGTTTGCTGCAAGTTGTTACATTGTATTTTCATAATATTTTTGAATTTTAAAATTTCATCAATGACCCTTTCATTGCTTGATACTGTATTGTTCAGTGTCACGATTTTGCATATTTTCTGGAGCTTGTTCTGCTATTGATTTCTAGTTTTATCCTACTGTGATTAGATAGAAGTTATTTCAATTTTCTTGTATTTGTTAAAACTTAACTGACAGGGTCTCTCTATAGCCCCAGCTGGCCTGGAACTCACTATGTAGACCAAGCTGCCCTCGAACTCACTGCCTCTGCCTCCCGAGTGCTAGGATTAAAGGTGTGAGCCACCATGCCTACCTTAATGTGTATTTTACAATCTTTGGGTAGAATATTCCTTAGATGTCTATTAAGTCTGTTTGATCTTTGGTATCAGTATCATTTAACTCTTATGTTTCTTTGTTGTTTTTTTTGCCTGGGTCAGCTGTTTGATGGTGAGAATGGCTACTGTTGCCATCCACTATTACTCAGTTGAGGTCAGTCTGTACCTTTATTTTCAGTAAAGTTTTATGAAATTGGGTGCACTGATGTTTGGTGTGTACTTAATTTAGGGTTTCTATATCCTGTTAAAGGATTGTGACCTTATCAATATGAAATAACCATCTTTATCTCTTCTAATTTTGAAGTCTAATTTGTTAGATACTGGTATGGCTATACCTGCTTTTTCTCTAGCTCAGTTTGCTTGGACTGTCTTTCCATCCTTTTACTGTACACTGTATTTGTCTGTATTAGTGAGGTATGTTTCTGAGAGCAACAAATACATGAGGGCTGTTTTTAAATCCAACCTGCTATTCTATGCCATTTGATTAGACTCTGTTACTCTTTGGACTCCATTACTAGGGGATTGGTGATTTGGGAAGGAGCCATGCTGTCATGTTTGTTTGTTGGGATTTATATACATCTGGGAATAGGATAGTGATTGGATTTTTCGTCATCTGTTTTCTTTCAGTTGAAGTATTTGCTACAGTCAAGT